GGTTACTGTTTGACATTAGATATCGGACAGGCCTGAGTAACAGAAATTTTTTAATTGAATTGTCCAGTATTAGGTACATCGAATAGTATAGATGTTTGGTGTGCGTAATACTAGACGAGCTCTTACTAATAGAGATGGTTGAACACTTGCATAATTTACCACTTGTCCAGTATTGGAAATGCTAGATAGGCAGGCAATTCTGTAAAAAAAAAAGAAAAAGTGGCGGGTGTGCGTGGCCTCCATGAAAGTTTTGTAAAAATATGACCCATTATGTAATAAAAGCTTCAAAACCTTATCCATATGTAATTGATGCTAATTAAATATAGGGAATGAGTCTTAAAAGGCCTGACTATGTCAACTATCCTACATCAGACTTGTGCCTTGACTAGGTTTAGTCAGGGTCAAAACAAATATTTCTCTAATTTTGCTCGGTTAGACTTGAATAAAGTTGGATTTTTTTTTGTACTATATTTCATAATTCAAACTATTATTTTTTTTATTTCTTTCATTTTTTTTATAAAATTTAGTCAAATTTATTCAACGAGTGGTCAAACTTAACTACACCTCTAACGAGTTTAGTTGGCAGTCCCATGATGATATTACTTCTTTTATATTCAAGTAGCACTTTTATGACTTAGAAATTTTTATTTATTTATTTACACATACATCTCAAGATTTGGGTAAACCAAAGTTAAAAAAAATGGGTTGGTGACTCGGATTGGCCACCTAAACAACATGTCGGATCGGTGGATCGGCAATTCAGATAAGAAAATTGGTTGGATCGGCCGGTTTTGGCTTAAAAAACATTTAAAAAAAATACGAAAAAGCCCTAAAAAGCAGTGTTTATTGAGTTTCAATTTTTTTTGAGGTTATTACATTATGTACTTTTATTAATTTTTACAAAAATATATCAATATTGAGACATTGTTTCCTATCTGAATATCTCTATAATTACTGATTATAATATATATTATAATGATATTGCATTAACCATGATTTAAAAAATACTAAAAAATACTTCCAAATTATAAGATAAAATAAGTAATACCTTATAAAGTGAAACATCAAATAATTTGTAAACTCTCTCTACTTTTCCAAAATTATCACAACCTAATCAACTATAATATTATTTACTAAAATTAGAATTATTACTTTATATTTTATTATTATTTTATGGAGATCAATAATATGAAAAAAATAAAAATAAAAATTAAAAAAAATTGAAATAATATTTTTTAGAAAAAAATTACAGACGATTGATTTTTATACGTTTTCAAAATTCAGAATTGAATTTTACAAAATTCATTTTTGTTTGTTGGTATTTACAAAATTTATTTCTAAATAACAACACACCTCTAAAATCAAATTTAACAACCCTTATATCTCCCCTTATGTTTTTCAAATAGTCTATTAGTACTTTTGTACATAGATTTTCCATGATAGTTTAAACTATTTAAACCCGAGTTATTTGTGATATGAGTGTACTTTTTTTATCTCCCATGTGTAAACATGTTTTAGCAAAAAAAAAAAAAAATTAATTTAAAATATAACTACATTAGTGGTAAAGAAATACAATCCAACTATCACAAAAAATGTAGTATAAAATCCAAAAACAATTACACAACCTAACCACAGTAGACTTATAAAAATAATGGTTGAATTAATATACCTCTTTAATCTCCTCCAATAGCCTAATATATTTTTTTCAAGGCTTCTTTCAATTTATTTTTTTTTTTTCAGTTTTTTGAAATTGATTTCCAAATTTGATATTTATTCAAATTATGTGAAAGTATATTTGGAAGGCTTTTATAGCACAAAGGTTGATCATGATTGAAACATGTAATTCTGAAGTCATGTTGAAATCATACAATTTCAAGCATATTATTTCACTGTTTTATAATGCTTGAAAGCATGTGATTCTATGTCCAGAGTCAAAGGCATACAAAATGCATGCTATTTAAGGTTGGTCAAAACTTTTTTATACAATAAAAAAAAAAAAATACGAATTTAGAATTTATTGCAATACATCCAAATAGAAATATTTCGCTAATAAAATTTTCTTCTCATATTCTAGTAGACATCCAAACAGTCTACCAACTTAATAAAATAAAACAATAATGTTTCTCAAAAATAAAAGTACATTTTTTTTTAACGAGAATATTTTTTTTTTGATATCCAAACTGGGCCTAAACCTTTAGGTCCGTAAAGACAGTTGCGGCCTTAATAGGTTTGTAATAGTAATGGCTTCTCACACACGTATACTCCACGCAGTGTTTAATATTTATTGCAATTGATCATGTTTATGTTAAACTATTGTAATGAGATTGTGTAGACCATTTATCTTGAGTGTATATACTATACGCCTGCAGAAGCATAATGCACGTCTACTCCCTCGGTCAAAATATCTAGCTAGATTGATTTATTTAGTCTAAAAATTTAGGAACCATATATGAATTACTAAAATATTATTTTTAAAAGAAAAACATTGAATTTTGAGTTTTGTGACACTTAGATTTAGCCTTTCAAATATCGAACGGTCTCTATTCAATCATGATGCGTTAGTTTTTAATACATAGAGGTTATTCTATAGATTGTGGAGATTACATCATAAAATTTAGGAACTAAAAAATATCCCTAGCATGTATTTTACTTGAGGTAGTAAACGGATAGTAAGTAGGAAATCTTTTGGCTTTATCTTTCTTACAAGGGGCTCACAATTACTACTAAAACTCAAATTAGATAGCTTATGGGTCTTATAAAGTCTAGAAATTTTTTTTACTTTGATCTAGTCAATTACACTTTTGCAACTATCCAATTTGAAATTTGATAGATAAACTAAAAGTATATCTTCTCTTTTGTATACTTTTCCTCTTGTAATGTTATATAGTTTTTTGAAATTTGATAGATAAACTAAAAGTATATCTTCTCTTTTGTATACTTTTCCTCTTGTAATGTTATATAGTTTAAATAAGATAGGTTGGTCGGTGACTTAATTGTGGGCATGTTTGTCTGTGTTCATACGAGTTATGCAGCTTTCCCTTCATACTTGATTCATTGAACCATTTGTCCGTGTTCCGGTGGTAAGTACCAAATAGGTCCGTAGCGGAGTTTATGGACCTATAAAGCCCTAAGCACCGACTTCCTAGGGCTTGATACCATAGGTCAGCAAAGGGGCCTGTGGGTGTGTAAAGCCCCAAGCACCTATTTGGGTGCTTAGGGCCTAATGCTATAGGCTAAATAAGTATGTAAAGACCCTCTACACACCTATGAGGTCTAGACATTTTGGGTAATTAAAAAACAGGTAGAAAATGGGTGCGGTTTGTATAGAACCGAGGCTCTAAACAATCAAATTAGAGCCCACCTTCAAATAGTATCAAGAAATATGGTTTCAATATTGGAAATCTTTGTGATAGCCTTAAAATATATATATGTATCTTTAATTATAAAATCTAAAGCTTCAAAAATAGCACAGATCGAATAGATCTATGAGAACTTGAAAATTTTGAAAATTGATGGTCCAAAAATGCATTACAATATGAACTATTTCCAAAACATGAAATCTTTTTTTTTTCTTGTATCCATGCATCTTGATGTCGAGATGATTAATTTGAGGATATTTGGGCACGAAAACAACCTCTTCTAGTAAAATTTTTGAGGTAGGCTCTAATTTGATTGTTTAGAGCCTCGTGTCTATATAAATTTTCCCTTCAAAAAATATTATATTGTTAATTTTTTGACTTTCTTTTGGGGATAATTTCCCTTTTGACTTTCTTTTGGGGATAATTTCCCTACTTGGAAAAACCTATGTAGAAAAAGTTCTTGTACGTCCATGTGCGTATCGCTACCGTAAATGCTCAACAGTCCAAATCGAATTTAGGTCGATCTGACGGTCACGGTTGTCTGAGTGTTTTATTTTAATGTTTTTTTTACAAATCAGAATGATCTGAAATTTGAAGTGTGTGTACATCTTAATGACGCACACCTAATAAAAATATAAAAATGAATAATTTACAAAAAATAAATTGATCAAAATACCCCTTAAGCTTTTCTAGGGTATTTTGGTTAATTTATTTCATGTAAAATATTTTTTTGATATTTTTTTGGAGATTCGCCTATTTTTTATGAATACTCGCTTTAAATTTCATATCATTTTGATTTATAGGAAAAAACTGAAAAATAAAACACTACTGAACATCCGTGATCATCAAATCGGCCTAGATTCGATCTGGGCCGTTTGGTATTTACTGTAGTAGTACATATCTTCATATATATATTTATATATATATATAACTGGTTCGGATCCAAATCAGATCCACCTATACTCAGATCCAATCTGAACTAGTATTCAAATCCAAAAAAGTTTGAATTAAGATCCAACCCTTTCTATCCAAATTTTGAATCGATGCGGTATCTAAAGTGGCTAAATTCTCGGCGCTAGTCACCGCGATTGAACGTAAATTAAAATAAATGGACGGTGTAGGCGTTGAAACCACGCTTAGACCCGCTGACCGCTTGGATGCATATATTTATATTATAAAGGGCAACGTGATGTGATGGGATGGATGTTAGTTGAACATGGATGGGGTGGCTCAGGTGGATGGATTAAGGTATAGACATGTGAGGTCGGAAAGAGACAAAGGTGGTAAATTTCGGGCTAAAAAGAGGAGATCAGGGTGTGGTCATATCGTTAAAAAGTGAACTTTTTCATTCCCCTAAAGAGACGCGGAGGGAGCTGAAGCATCCCCTATTGCACGGGAGTTAAAGGGGCTATAAGGTCACCGATTTGGGAACTTAAAAATAATGATCCTACCAGTTTCAAATCCCACTTTCTCTCTCTAAAAATGACACTACCACTTTCTCTCTCTCTCTTAATTACTGCGAAAACAACAGGTGAGAGAGGCACCCTAATGGCACCCTCCCAAACGTCCCTTTCTGGCTCCTCTCCCCCACCTCTGCCGCCCCTGCGCCCTTTGCATACGACTTTTTTTAACCATTGGGAATGCCAACCACACACTTTCTGAGCCCTAAAAAAACACAAGGGGCAGCAGTTAGTTCAAGACCTCCTCTAAAACCTGCAAAACCTTTTTCTTTCTCTCTCAACTCCTCTCTTACTACTATTCTCCGCTGCCCTTTTCTTCCATTCATCGCTGCTTTTCAATCTCCACGACATTCTCTCCAACAACAAAAAACCCAATCCATCAATCAATCAATCATGTCATCCTCATCCTCTTTTGCCTTCCACCCCACTCCCTCCGAGCAGTTGTGCTATGTCCACTGCAACTTTTGCGACACTGTCCTCGCAGTAAACGCCTTCTCTCTCTCTCCTCGTAGACACTATGTTTTCTTATACTCTCGCTCTCTGCATCTTTCTCTCGAAATCGAAATGGAAGTCAAGTATTTTAGTGGGGTCGCAGTCATTGATGTTTCTCTTCTTTCTTTGTTTTTAGGTGAGCGTTCCATGCAGCAGCCTATTCAAGATGGTTACAGTGAGATGCGGTCATTGCACCAATGTTCTCTCCGTCGATACCAGGGGCCTTCTCCACCCCACGGCCGCCACCCAGCTCCACCTTGGCCACGCTTTCTTCTCCCCCACTCCCCACAATCTTCTGGTAACCAATGCACTCATTATTTTCACTTTATATTGCTTCATCTTTTGTTCATTTTTTTTCTTCTTATCTCATTGCACAGGATGAATGCTCTCCGCCTTCAAGCCTCCTGTTAGACCATCCTCTCATGACCCCCTCCAACACTGGCTCAGCTTCCACTCGACTTCAGGAGAATGAGGCACTGCACTCCCCTGTGAGCCGTCGTAAGTGCTCTCTCTCTGTCTAAATCATGGGTTACCTCTCTCTCCTGTGTCAAGCTTATGCTGTCAAACTGTGTAGGAATTATGTGTTTCATGTACATTTCATATCAAGGAGATGCCACTGAAATTCCGCTCAATCCCCACTTTAAAGTGTGCAACAGCTAGTTTTACTTTCCTTTTGGTCCTAAACAGTTTGCCTGATTCTTGTACTTGGGCAGCCCCGACCCCAACTTTACCGGGCGACAGGCAATCCTGCTGCCGATTTCGTGAGCTGGCACTCTTATTTTTGGGCTAGATTCTTCTGTGACAGAAGATAGGAAACACCTTCTTTTCATAAATCCCAAGATTCTTCTGTCACAGAAGATTGGAAACACCTTCTTTCATAAAATTTGAAATTTTGGTCTCTGCTTAATGGAAATCTGTCATTATCATGTCTGTGTTTTAGAGAGAGAACAGTTCTTTTCTCTGATCAAAGGAAATCTCTCGTCACTCATGTCTGTTTTAGAGAGAGAAGAGAGATGGGTTTAAGGATCTTTTTCAAGACAAAGATCGAGAGAGAAGAATGATGTGGGCAATCGTCCTGTTTTTTGCTGTTTGGTTGGAGATGGTGATGATATGATAATGATAACGAGAATTAAATGAGTGGTGGGTGATGTTTCATTGCAGCTCCGGAGAAGAGACAAAGAGTTCCCTCGGCGTACAACCGCTTTATCAAGTAGGCAATATATATATAATAATGAAATCGTAATTCTTTTTTTTCAATTTTCTTTGTCACTGTCTTATCACATTCGTCATTGAATTCAGATTTGTTTGTTATGTATGAGTAGTAACTATCGGTCGTGGAAGTCAATTAGCACCTGTAATGATGAAACAATAATATATAAAACAATAATAAATATGATAAAAAAAAATTAAAATTATGTGATGGAATCCCAGGGAAGAGATCCAACGAATCAAAGCGGGAAACCCGGACATCACCCACAGGGAAGCGTTCAGCACTGCGGCCAAGAACGTAAGTTCCATCATCATACCAACCATGCTCACGAATCTTTTTTCCTTTTAACAAAAAAAACTTTTTTCCTTTTAACAAAAAAAATCCTCTTCAAACTTTTTTCATTCTCTCTCTCTGTAACTCCGTCTCTCTTTAAACCCACGTTTCATTAGACTTTTTTCACGCTCTCTGTAAATCCTCTATGTTTTGTCTCTCTTTAAACCCACCTTTCATTAGACTAGTATTCAATGGTATCCCTCTCCAAACTTTTCCACTCTCTCTCTCTGTAACTCTATGTTCTGTCTCTCTTTAAACCAACGTTTCATTAGAGTAGTAATCAATGGTATCCCTCTCCTAACTTCTCCACTCTCTCTCCAAACTTTTCCACTCTCTCTGTAACTCCTCTATGTTTTGTCTCTCTTTAAACCCACGTTTCATTAGACTAGTATTCAATGGTATCCCTCTCCTAACTTCTCCACTCTATCTGTAACTCTATGTTTTGTCTCTCTTTAAACCCACGTTTCATTAGACTAGTATTCAATGGTATTTGAATTACTATTTGTTGGTCTTCTTGGATCTCTCCCTCTCTCTCCCTCCCCAAGAGGTTAACAGTTGGATCTCTCCCCCTCTATTCAAAAGGTTAACACCCTATATCATTCGACAATCTCTCTCGTCACGAGGTTAACAATATATTTCATTCAACAATCTCTCTCTTCACAAAGTTAACAGTTTTTCATTCAACAGTCTCTCTCTCTTCACACAAGGTTAACGGTCTTTTTCATTCAATAATCTCTCTCTCTCTCTCCTCACAAGGTTAACAGTCTATTCATTCAACAATCTCTTTCTCCCTCTTCACAAGGTTATCAGTCTTTTTCATTCAACAATTTCTCTCTCTCTCCTACCCCACTCAAAAAAGAACAAAAAAACACCGAAGGGTGTACACACATCACAACTTATATGTTGTTTGATGAACTGGTGTTGTTCTTCGATCTTTCTCTCTCTGCGTTTGTCTCGATATTTATTTCCAAGTTTATTCATGCCAATACGATATGGGTGAATCCTTTGCAGTGGGCTCACTTTCCACACATCCATTTCGGTCTTATGGCAGATCAAAGCATCAAGAAAACAAATATGCAGGTAACCATTCTCCCATCTTTCTTTCAAATACTTGGAACTTCATCTCTCTCTCTTCTATTTTACATTACTAAAAAAAGGTGAGACTCCAAATTTTGTTTCCAGGACGGAGATGACGTTTTAATCACAGAGAGCTTCTTCACAGCTGCGAACATGGGGGTCACTCCATACTAGCTAGCGTCACTTTTATTACTCCTAAAACTTGGTTTAATTCATCTCCCTTTCTCTTCTCTTCTTTTCTTGTGCTTTCTCTTCATGCCAGACTGACTGTAAAACTCTTTCTCGGCCATAATCGCTTTTTTAGCTGTTCTCATGGTTAAAAACCAAACAGTCCATAGCTTCTTACATTTATGTAACCTGTTGAAGGTGTTAATTCCTCTCTCTCTCACAAAAACACACTCTCTCGCTAAAACAAACACACTCTCTCTCTAAAAAAACATACATACTCTCTCTCTAAAAACACACACACAGTCATGCTAATGTTTTCTGGGTAATTACACTATGTTTCCATGTTTTTGGTTTCATCGGTTACCTCACCACAATACGGCCTGGGCACCTGGCTCTCCTGTAGCTACCTAGCTTTCTGGCTTTCAGTTAGCCTTTCCTAAATGTAGGAATTGTATTGTGATTACTACTTTCAAGATGGATGCCATACTGTGCCTACTTTTCTAGTTGCCTTCTGGAATCGGAATCGTATTATGATATTACATGTAGTATTCCCTCGTATATGTTATTTAGGGCAGGAGGATTTTTTTATCTGAATAGTTTGGAACCGCCTAAGTATTACTATATGAATATTGAAAAAAAAAAAAATTTGAATTCTCTAACTTTTATCTGAATAATTTGGAACCATCTAAGTATTACTTTATGATTATTTTTTAAAAAAATTAGATTATTTAACACTTAGATCTCACCCTACCAGAATTAGACGTTATCTATTCAATATTGATTTTTTTTTTTTTTTTGAAAAATTAATCCCATGCCATAAAATTTTTGGAGTATTACAGTATGGTCCAATGTTTTTTGGAGTACTACAGTATGGTCCAATGTTTCCTCTATTTATGTAGTGGTCCTACTCTCTCAATTTTTTAATATATATTTTTTAAATTTTTGCCACAAAGTGGGACTGCTTTTTTATTTATACATTTTTTTGTAGAGCTATCCGTTGGCTTGGAGGTATATTAGGGGTAAGTCAGATTTTCCAATTTTCACAGATTTTATACATTTTTTTTGTAGAGCTATCCGTTGGCTTGGAGGTATATTAGGGGTAAGTCAGATTTTCCAATTTTCACAGATTTTATACATTTTTTTTTTTGCAGAGCTATCCGTTGGCTTGGAGGTATATTAGGGGTAAGTCAGATTTTCCAATTTTCACAGATTTTCCAATTTTCATATATGTTCCAATTTTCCAATTTTCACAGATTTTCCAATTTTCACAGGAAATTTTTAATCGGATGTCTTGTGTTCAAATGTCACATCGGATGTCTTGTGCTCAAATGTCACAAATATGAGAGATTCAATTAAGTTGTCCTACCGGTTAGAAATCGGATGCCTTGTGTTCAAATGTCACAAATATGAGAGATTCAAAATTATTCAAAATTTTAAAAAATTATAAGTCTTGGAATGGTCTGATATTAGATATTATATCATGACAAAGTGAACTTTATGGAATTACATTATTTGGAACATCGGACTGATCCCTAATGTACCTTTGGAATATCAGACTGATCCCTAATATACCTCCAACCCATCAGATTGCTCAAGGGAAAAAAAAAAAAATTTAAAATAAGAGGTGATGGGAAATTTGGAAATTTTTTTAAAAGCACGAAAGAGTAAGACCTCCATGTAAAACATGGGCCAACTTCGGAATACCAAAATGCCACCAAAGTATTACGGTGTGGGCGTAATTTTTCCCTTTTTTGTTTTTTAATCATAAAGAAATTGTGACATGATAATCCTTTTTATTAATGTTATTTTTTGGCTTAAGGACTTTGCATACCTAAAATTTGTGGTCTTAGATTACTTGAGGGAGTAAATGGACAGCATGCTTCTATAGGAGTAGAAAATCCTTGCTATTTTTTTCTATTGTAGTATTGCTTTGTATACTATACCTATCCTGTACACCAAATGCCAAATGCATAAGCAGCTGTGTGGAGATGGACTGTTCTACCATTTGAGCTAACAATTGCGTTCATCACTCATGTCCAAGTTTATTCTAGGGGATAAGGGAAAAGTATAGGATCTACACATTACTGACACAGTGGACATCATTTTGTATTTCATATTTCAATTTTTCATAAAAATTGAAATTATTAAAGGGTATGGTTTACAACTGATTTTACTTACTTTTGAATTTTGTTTTTTTTGAAAGAAGTTATAAAATTTTATTAAAGGAGACTAAAACGAAATTTCAATCATATTTCAATTTTTCATAAAAATTGAAATTATTAAAGGGTATGGTTTAACTTATTTTGCTTTATACACATTGGAATTATTAAAGGGTATGGTTTACCACTGATTTTACTTACTTTTGAATTTTGTGTTTTGAAAGAAGCTATAAAATTTTATTAAAGGAGACTAAAACGAAATTACAGTTTTTTGAAAGCAGTTATAAAATTTTATTAAAGGAGACGCAAACGAAATTACAGAATTAGAGACAATTGCCTCTAATAAAAAAATACCTCACAATCAGCGATCACATTGGCTTTCAGATAGACATGCACAAAACAAAACAAAATGAGAAAGGTCTAGATAAATCAAAAATCTGCACCAACAAAATGCACAAAACAAAATGAGAAAGGCCCAGATAAATCCAAGATCGGCACCAGTGCACAAAACAAAATGAGAAAGGCCTAGATAAATCCAAGATCTGCAGCAGCAAAGTGTAAAGTGTAAATCCAAGATCTGCAGCAGAGTTCTAAGCTCCCAAGTCGCTTGGGAGCCCCTTTGCTCTACCGTATAGCATTTGGGGAATCACCTTCGAGGACCTAAATTTCTTGCCATCAAAATTTGCAAACCATGCAGTAGTAAAAAAAAAACGTTGGGCCAAATAAAAACAATATTACCTTCCCAATCCCTAACCACCCCACTTAAACCAGCTCACGCAGGGTTTCCCAATCCCTAACCACCCGATTTAAACCAGCTCACGTAGGGTTTCCTGGCCAGCTAGAATCAAAGTTAAGTTTATAGACTCCCCTAGTTTAAGTTTATAGACTCCGTAGAAGGAACGCACCTGATAAAGCCCATTTAGAATAAACTAGATAAATTTCGTCAATATCTTTCCGTGACCGATAGATACCTCCTTTTACCTTTAGACTTGCATTAGATAAAAGTCCATTTGGAATAAGCTGGATAAATTTCTTCAACTTCCATAATATCTTTTCACACTTTGGTAACTGATAATATCCTTTCACACTATCATAACTGATAGATGCTTCCAGAGGAATTATCTTTCCTTCACTTGATAAAGCCCATGAGGAATAAGCTGGATAAATTTCGTCAACTTCCATGATATCTTCCCCCACTTTCGTAACCGACAGATACAACAAAATAGCATATAAATTTTCTCCATAATCCTAGGCAATCTTATCCCATAAAAAACTCTTCTATATCTCTTTCCATAATAGATAATCCTTTCTAAAGGCAAGTTTATTCCATTAAAAACTCTTCTATTTCTCTTCTTCCATAATCCTCTCGAAGGTAAGCTTATCCCATAAAAAACTCTTCTATTTCTCTTCTTCCATATCTCATTAGTAACGCAAGGTAAGCTTATCCCATAAAAAACTCTTCTATTTCTCTTCTTCCATATCTCATTAGTCGCGCAACCTGCCAAATCACCAAACCCGTTTCGGCAAAAGCGGTAGCGATAAGTCTTATCCCATCAAAAACTCTTCTATTTCGCTCCTTCCATATCTCTTGCCAAATCACCAAACCCGTTTCGGCAAAATTACTTTTGATAAAGTAATTTTACCAAGTTTTTAATACTATAGGTGTTGAATTATGAACTTGAACACAAATTTATGCGAAAATAAGCTAAATGTTTGTGAATGATATCAAATACACAGTGGACTTTTGAGAGGAGCAGATATTGCATTGTTTTTTAATTACACAAGGGCTAAGGCTGACTATTCATCGAGAAAAATATATGACCAAGTGCCATGATTTGTACCTTCAATTATACACTAGAGAGAGAGAAAATTGGGGTGGGCAATGGTCCATAAAAAGGGAGAGAGACGTTCATAGCTTGGCACCGTATAAGATTGTTTCATTTGCATTATCTTAATTTCCTTTGCAATGTTCCCAAAAAAAACAACAAAAATGGAGAGAGATTTTGCATTATCTTCCTTTGTTGTCAAAGCTTGCTTTGCACCGTATATTCGTAGCTTTACTCGCTATTCGCTAATGTGTGAGACTAAACTTGTCTTGGTCGGCTCAAAGTAATGTTTGGATAAATGTTGAATCGTTTGGAGATGAGAATCCCATTAAATGTAGTTAAGATCACTTTTAATTTTAAGTACCCCAAGTTTTAAGGCACCACCCTACAAACAAAAAAACTAAAAAAAATAAAACAACAAAATCAAAATTCGGGTTGATCGAGGAGTAATTTTAGAAAAAATTTAAAAAAGTGGGTTAACCGATCTTCGTTGTAATTGCCACCTATAAATGAAGCATTTCGTGTTTTTACCTAAAATATTAAGATCCGTACGTAAATCTCTCTATTTTTAGAGCTTATTATATTGCTAAGAACCAAATGGCTGCTTTTATGTAGTATTTTTCATGGGATAATCTCAAACAAATTGGCTACAAAAAGGTTACTTAACATGAACCTTTGGATAAGAGATAATTGCCTATACTTTGTAAAAAATGTAATTCTTAATTATCTTGGCAGTAGAAAGGCTGGGAAAGAAAATTTAGTCCCAAATCCAGGACTTCAAAGCGTTGTTGGGGGAGCGGCATAAAAGGGGTGAAGGGATAGAGAAATTGTGTGTGCAGCCGAAACCCACATGGGTTTGTGGCGCTTAATAAATTTTTTTGATAGAAATTCTTAAGCTTTATTAAAGGAAACTTGGGCTTGTGGCGCTTAATAATTTTTTTTCATAGAAATTCTTAGGCTTTATTAAAGGAGAAGGGGCTTGTGGCGCTTAATAAAAGTTTTATTTTATTTATTTTATTTTATTTTATTTTATTTTTTTATAGAAATTAAACTTGTGGCCCTTAATAAAAAAAATTTTTGATAGAAATTCTTAAGCTAAATAGAAACTAAAAGGAAATTACTTATCAGATTCAATTGCCTCCGTATAAAAAAATGCCCCTGATTAAAAAGATGCCTCTCGCAAGATAATCAGCAACTATAATGGCTTCTCGATAAACAAGCAC